AGAAAAAAAATGATTGAAAAACGATGGTGAAATAGTGTGGCATAGCCCTTTTTAAGTGGAGATGGCCAATTGAAGCGTTTTGGAGAGCGTTTGATCGGCCTCGTTTACCGCATTAATAAGGAGGGCACTCTTTCCTATGGCGCGCTTCGACATGACATGCGCGAATTTGTAGCTAATTAGACATTGGCTCTGACCACTAATAGGTATGGTTGCATTCCCAGCGTAAGAAAACTGCGAGATCATCAAGAATGTCCAGATGAATGAAACAATTACATCAAAGTAATGCAGGGATCGTCTCAAGAACTACGAACTAACGTTTTGGTGATTGTAGAAAGGGCCATTTTTATTACAACGTGTTTCTGAAAAAGTAAACATATATATAGAAAAAGAAGCGCTTTAAAGGTGGTTAACTCTTACAAGTTTTCGTATTTAAAAACTGCTGTTGTTTTACTGACACAGTTTACTGACACAGTTTACTTGGATCGATGATCCTGCTAATTAAAATTAGTTTTTCATCTGTAATTCCTACAACGAAAAAGGGTTGTAAAAAGCACAGATAAAGGAGGTTTGAAATATATAATGTGCAGTTGTGAATAAATACTGTATATTCAAGGACCAAATTCAAGTTTCTTTTTTTTTCTCGGGTATTCAACAACTTTCTCCCCTAGGCCTTCATAGAAATTAAGAACCTAGCCTTAAATTGCCGATAACTAGCCCAGAATAAAAGGAAATTTTATGCCAGAACTGTAAAAATGTAGGCTCTTATTTGCGGGTGTTAATTACTGAGAACTTTATCTATGCTTTTCAACCCGTTATTTAAACGCAGTTTAGCCATAAAAAAACCGGTTCTAGACCATTTTCAGTTTTCCAGTCGCTGCTATCCTGATCATATTTCATCGAGAGCAATTTCATAAACTGATCAAGACAGACAAACTTTATCTTCTTTAAAAATAGCCCACTTGGTTAAGGGGTCTGGATTACTGTCCAATGATAAAACGCCACGGCTACTAAGTTATATTAAACGGTTTCAATAACCCATGCAAAATGCTTTATGTCGGGGAAGAAATAGGTGATGCTTAACTTGATTATTTTGTGATTAAATATTTATTAGAAATTGTAATTTGTAGCGCAAAGAAGTTAGATTTCGTGACATTAGATTTCACAATAATGTAGACAAAGTCCGAGTATATTTACGATAAAAAAGAGGTAACTGCATGCATTTTCTAAAGCTAAATAAGGCGAAAGAACGTGCGATTTTGTATAATTTGATCAAAAAGTTAAACGCTAAAGGATTTTTAAAATACATCTAAAAATTATTTCAAAAAGTGAACGACTTTTCGGCGCTACGTTACGCCATTATGAAGTTGAAAAGTGAAAAAATATAAGGTGTAAAACGAATATATAGAATTTAAAACAATACATAAAATATTTGCTGGACCAATGGGTATGATTCCCAAGGTAAGAAACACAATAAGAGACAAAAAAAAAATGTACGAAAGTGTCGCGTAAATAGTTTAGCACAAATGGAGTCGGCTTGCGTTTTAAGAGAAGGCTTGATGTCCTTTATGTATAACGTCTCGTAGACTAAGCAATCAAACTTGCTGTTACATTTCCTCAGAACTTTGAAAAGATGGTCGGTCTTTGTTCTGTTGTTGCCATGCTGTGTTTCAAGGTGTTTCCCGATGGCTGAAAAACGGTGTTCACTTATGCGTTGATGTAAGTGTCGGGCAGTGTACCCGACATAATTTGCATCGCACAAATCACATTGAAATAAGTATACAACGCATTGAGTGTTGACGATCGGGGGCTTGTTTTCCTGACACTCCGAGTTTGTGACAGTTTTCTGCCTGTAAAGACGGGTT